GAAACGGGGTTGTAGAAGTTTGTTTCCTGTAGAGGATCTGTCAAAATCAACAAAATATGTAATTTAACTGGGGTGTCCAAACTTTTGTACCTGTATTTCCAGTCATATAAGGCGAGGCTCTTGTCTCTTTGAATGAGGAGAGACAAACCTGAAACTAAAAGCCACGTTTCAAAAACGTATTTGAAGTCACTGGTGAAATCTGACAAAAATCAGTTAGATTTTTTCTGTTTTCAACACCATGTTGAGCGTTAAGAACTACCGTTCGTTTTTCAACAAATGAACTGTCGTTTCCTAGTTTATAATGTCTCTGGTGGTGTACACCCCTGGATTATGAACATCTGTGTTACGTTAATTGAGAGGCAAAAAAAATCTGACTATATGATTTTTTTATTTATATTTATATTGATATTTAGTTTTTTGCTGCTCTTCTTGCGAATCACACAGGAATGTTTGGTAATCAGAATAAACTGTGATGTGTACACTAATCACCTAAACACCACCTGCCTTCTGATTGGGCAAGTGCGTCATGTTGGCCAGATTCATTTGCATACCATTCAGCTCTGCCCAACTTTCGGATGCACTGCATCCTGCAAATTCGCACTGGTCCCAACATGCATTTCGTGGTCACATCAGACAGACACAAACTTTCCAATTAAAAAGTAATGGGATTCACTGCAGTCTATTGCTGTGCCAAACCAATGGAAATGCAGCATTAGCCTATATATCTTTGTATCATCCTACTACAACACACCTGATTCAGCTAATCAGCTTGTTAACAAGCCTTTTCTGAGCTGAAGTGGGTCTTTTGGGAGCAAAGAAAAACAAGACAGGGGTGCTCCAGGACCAGGACTGGGAACCACATATTTACATTCGTCTTCACAGAACTAGACAGAGTGCCCGCTTTAGTTCGCCCGTGCTGTCGCTAATAAGTGTTCCAGGCCCTTCAGCAGAACATACCGGAAGAATCCCCTGTTGGAGTCTCATTCCCAATCTGTCGGTCGGGGGTCTTTATTTTCGCTTTGTTATTTGCACACTTCAAAAACATCTGTTGCGCCCCAGCAGTTGCCGATCACCATAATTAATCGTGCCGCTGCTGCTACGATGTGTCTTGCTGACGCATTGCGTTCAGGGAGGGAGTTTTCTCAAAAGTGGTGCTCTCAATGCATGGCTGGCTTTCGGAGCCAGACAGCCTTTTGTCTATTGATGCACACCAATCGGAAAATCAGATTACTTCTGCTCCTCAGGACAGGCTGAGGTTTTGTCTCCCCGCCAGCCATAGATTGGAAGACTGCATTTATACAAGGCCCTCAGGAGACACTGACAAAGCCAGGGTAGCTTTTTCCCCCCAAGGAAAATGCCCATCACTCTGCAGAGCCAGGCCATTAGATTCTGCTCCTTTCCCATTTCATGTAAATGATGTGTCATTCTGTCTCATCTGTAAACTCCTCGATCACACTAATGGTACCTAAAGGTGCATAATATGTTACCAATTGATATATTGTTGCAGAGAAATTTAATTATCATTTCAGGCTCAGTATTGGAATTACAACCGTTGACGTTTCACCCATTGCTTGCACACACACTATGAAACACAGGACCTACATTCAGAGAGGGCCTGATAATTTCTGGGAAATTCATGTCGAATTATGAGTTCCTTTTTATTTAATAGTATCATCAAGCTTGTTGTATTTAAACACTGCAAGTATTGTAGTAATATGCATTTCACTGTTATGGATTAGTTGAAAAACAAAAGGGATTAAATCTTGAAATGCTTAAGAAAAAATTATCCAGTGTTATCTGTGTAGTTTCAGCCAAACAAGCTCTCCCAATGGTTAGGCCTTCAGGAGCTAGACAGATTAACAACCAGCATAATTTGTATTATCAGCCATAAGTACTCTTTACTAAAAGAGTCTGTAAAACCAATACATACAATGTAAAATACATGTTAATGTCTGTTGCAAACTTCAGATAAAACAAGCTGTGTCTGATCCACTCGTACCAGCGCAACACACACCAGCACGCCACCACCACATCAGTGTGTTACTGCAGTGCTGAGAATGATCCACCATCCATGGATGGATGAATGGATAGATAGATGTTACATATATATAACCTTTATAAAAGTTTATGTAGATTTACCTTGTAGCCTTACGAATGCTGCCCTCCTGTTAACTGTGACCAATTATTAGTTATTGGCATTAGTATTGGCCACAACTAGATATCTGTTGATTAGTTTTTGTCAGAATATGTAAGTTATTCAAATTACATCACTACAACATTTGTTTAGAGTTGATACACATCATTGAGTATACAGTTGATCATGTTGAACTACTAAGCTGGACTCTGTTGTTGCAGCTAACTGAAGCTAAGCATGCTGGGAATGACAATGATATGCTAATGTTAGCTCAAGCACGGAGCATGGATAGGTGATCATCACTGACCTAGAAATTCCATACCTGTGCATCCTTAATGGCTGCAAGTTTAGTTTTTCACCAACAAATTGGACATATTATGAGTGGACATATTATAAGGGCCATTTGCTTAATGGATGAATGCAGCAGGACTGACCAACAGCAAAACAGACTGACTGTATGGTAAGGGACATCTGCTGCCTCCTGCTATCCAGCTCTGGCTCATCTGGCCTGTTCTAATGCGGCTCTCCATTATGTGTGCTTATGAGGAGCATAACAGCAACAAAGCCGATCCTGAGAGAAATCAGCGCTTTATGAATGTGCATATAAACACAGGCATGCCTCTATTAAGCACAGCCTCTTGTTTTGTGAGTGTATTAGCCTGAGTGTTGTGGAGTGTATCAACACCAGTGATAAGAGAAAGCTGAAGTGCTGTGACCATTAGGGGAAAGTATCCCGCCGTCTGACTTTATTTTCCTTATGAAGGCGTGAGGGCCTGGAGTGAGTAAGTACATGAGGAGTGAGCGTTGGTGTCAATCACTTTGATTTAGAGCAGCACACTCTCTCTCTTGGGCACACTTGGCAAATTATGCTCTGTACCAGGGCCTTTTAATGAACTTGGCCGCCTTTAATTGACTGGTGCAGAACATAAAGGCACTGTTGACAGAGACTTAGTCATGCTTTTCATTCTCAGTAGCTTTCAAAAGGATGATTCATACTCTGGCACGTTTTGTTTTAGCACTGGGTTTTTGAAAATGCTGGCCTAAGAAACATTCAAATACAGGAAGGTTCTTCTTTAAGGAGTTCTGCTATGTTTCTGATCGATGTAACAGTTCTGTTTAGTTAATTTATCATTGAAACTGCAGTGGTGATTAACTGTCATTCAGTTTCTCTAAAGATCACAGTAATTACTGCTTCAGTGTAGAGCTTAAATGAAGTAGTTAACTTCAGTGTAGTTTAACTGAACTTTTCCACAATTGTTTAGTTTTGACATCATTTCATGGATGCTGAATGAATTGTTAACTAATTGATGCCTCTTTAGTCTTAGTTCTTTTTTTCTTCTCTTTTCTTAAGCTTCCATAGATTCTTCAGTTAAAGGGCCCATATCATGGAAAAAGACCTTTTCCTTGCTTTTTTAAGTAATAATGTGATGTAGTGTGTAATTTTTATTCAAAATGTCCAGAAATGTCCCCACAGTCCATACAGTCCAAATATAGAGCGCAAGCTGCGACCGCAGCCCTTTTTGAATTTGTTGTTTTTGTAATGTCATGAAAAAACAAATAATTTACATATATTTGCCCATTTAGCCTCTAGGAATATCCTGATTGCTCGTTTCATTTACATACCAGTCTTAAAGTCACTGTAACTAGAGCATAAAGGGATAAAGAGGATTTGGAAAAAGCTCATATAAAAATGGATTAAGAGGTAATGTCATTATTTGGATTGATTTTACTTTTTCTTTACCAGTCCTGGTCCTGGATTACCACTGTTCTACACCCAGTGCACATCAGGAAGTGCTTGTTAAAGAACAGTTCCAGCCGTTTTTCAAAATTATTGCATAATTCAGTGGTTGCGATATAAACAGCGATTCAGAGTGGCTTAATGTGAAATGGTTTATTAGAGAGAAACTTCTTTACAGTGGTGGTTTTAGGAACCAGGGGTTGCGACCTCTACAACACAAATAAAACCATTTTATTTGCTACCCAAATGACCAATGAACCTACAGGTTTTTAAGTTTGTATAGGTAATGTTCATGATGGTAAAATAGTGGTAATTGTAAAAAAAAAAAGTTTTCTTTGGGCTTTTTTCTATTTTGCCTTTTAACACCCTGCATGTACTACTACACCATAAATATTCTAAAAACATGTTAAGGCCAAAAGTTTTGTTTAAAACTCAAAATTGCAAGATATTTGTAATCATTTTGTGTAATAACTTTCTGTGAGTTAGCTTTTAGAGGCATTGAACTCTCCAGACATCTGATTCCTGTCACCACCACTGTAAATAATTCTGACTCTGTGCGTTTTGCTGGAATGTAGCATTTCACATGAAATCATTCTGACCTCATTTGTCTGCACCTTAGCAATTGATTTATGCAGAAATCTTGAAAAAATGGTGGAATTAATTAGTTAATTTGTCATATGTGTTGAGAGCAAGGGAAACTCTTAAAAGCAGTAATACTGAAGGACCAGGATTGAGAAGCACTATTGTAGACACTAATAATCTATACCTTGAATGACTACACAGTCATATCCAACTCTCCTGCACACATTGTAGACAACAGAAGATGGTATGCCTACTGAAGTAATGTACCCTATAGTCCATCTGTTTTGAACTGCAAATAGCATTTGTTGCTTCTTTTGTTTTTTTTTGTGGAATTACAGCTGCATTACATGCTTGACGAGGGAAAGGAAGCACGGTCAAAATCAATGTTGTCTCTTTTTTTTTAAAGGTCAAAATTTGAAATTTTTAATTTTCAATTCAAATTTGTACATTTCAGTTCATACATATTTCTCTCTTGCACACATCTGTTTTTCTTCTCACTGCCAAAAATGTGAAATGTGTTAAATCCACAATTCCTCCCCTTTTCAGATCCGAAGGCAGGGGGGTATCCCGTTGCTGGTGGACCTGTTGGACCACAGGATGGCCGAGGTGCACCGGAGCGCTTGTGGAGCTCTGAGGAACTTGGTCTACGGCAAGGCTAACGATGATAACAAGATTGCCCTGAAGAACTGTGGAGGCATCCCTGCACTGGTCCGCCTGCTGCGCAAGACCTCAGACGTGGACATCAGAGAGCTTGTCACAGGTAAGATGCGGTATATGGCTGAATGTTAAATGTTACCCATTACTTTAGAATCCCAGTGCATGGCTGTTTTTATACTGACCCATCTGATGTGTATTGTATGTAAAGATGGCCACAGATATCAGAATTGTGCCAGTTACACTGTTACTGGCTATCCACACTTCTGTGTTTGTACTTTGCACCATTTTTATCCGTTAAGCAAAATACATCCACTAGATTGAAAATATTAGTTAGGTCATAGCATCCCATTGAAAAGTCAAAGTTTTAAAGGTGTGGGTGGTTATTTTGCATGCCAGTCAAATGACCCCTTCTTGTTAAGGCCAACATCCAACGTCTTACATCCGTCAAAGTATCTGCGCTTCCAACCTGTTGCGTTTTTTTTACATGTCAAGTCTGAGCAAAGCATAAACTCCTTATAGATCCAGTCAAACTACACACTCATACTGTCTGTAGTTTGTGAAATATATTCTAAATTATGTAGAGCCGAGTTATTCATCATCAGAAGTTTACATATCTTCTGACAGTAACTTCCTAGTGTGCAGTACTCAGTTTCTGACACGGCAAATGTGTCCCTGGACTGTTGGAAGTTGGAGACTTTAATCATGGCAGTGGACATGCCATTGTCTTTTAATGAGCGTTAAACGTGCTTGTCTAATGACACATTTCCAAGGACACTGTCTGAGTCTGAGTCTCCTGCTTGAGGGCAGTTCAACTTCATTACTGCATAATTTGTCTACTAGTGGACTGGTGATTGGCTGGAGTCTAGCTAATGTGCTTCAGTTATATTCTTTGTCTTCTTGGATTTAGTGATCTCATTATATTGCCAGTAAAGGCCTCACTCTATTCAGGAGTAACTTGCAGTGATAGACAGTGATTGCTTGCTGTTTGGGCCTACTGGTTTGAAACCTGTCCTTTGTAGGTCACCAGTGCTGTGAGCACACAACAGAGACTGCTGGGAATTATTACTGGAGCTATGTGATATTTCCACAATGGAGGCCCATCTTGATCTCATGCATGGCGATCTCTACTGCTTTCGCTTCTTCTTCCATGAATTACTCTGGTGTCTAACAGCCTCTTGAAGGCTCTCGTTCAGCCAAGACTTGTTTGGTGTTTGAAGGTTACTTTTTTAGTTTTGCGCTAGAGGAACAATGCTAATGTAGCTAACAAATGATAGAAACCTATGATCATTGCTGGTGCTGACTTTACGTCAAAAATATCTAAAGTTCTCGGTAGTTTAAGATGTACTCAAGCTATAACGTTAGGTGTGGGGGGGAAAAATCGATTCTTAGATGTATCGCAATGCAGACGTGAAAGATTCTGAATCGATTCATGTATGTCAAAAATCGATTTTCTAAATTTTAATTTATAACATAATGTTGACGAAACGCAAAAGGCGGAACTTGGAAGTGCGGATGTGCAGCGCCCGGACAGTCTGTGGCGGCACATAACAAAGACACAACTGGATGAGCGAGAAATCCTACCGGCACCCTCTGCATTAAAAGCTAGGTTAGGTCAGGAGTCACAACACAAATATTAAGAAGAGACATTTTGTCCTTTCAACAAAAATCAAACCACCTTGGGAGCCACAACATTTTATATCCAATCTGTCTCAGTATGCTAATTTCCTAGTACAGGCTAAAAAATATAAACGAAAACGCGCTTACTTTGCTCTGCTTTAAGCTTTAGCTTAGCTATAGCCGCTTTCCTCCCATCTCCACCAGAAAACCTTTTCCTTTGAATAGTTTCTTGTAAAATGTCTCTCAACGTTCGACTGTTTTACGAGGCTGAATTCGCTTCTCATTCTCCAGCTTCTTGTTTGATTTTTCCCGTTCCACCTTAAATTCTGCCTGGTGACAGAATGTAAATACAGCACCATTTAAGGTAGAATGGGAAAATTCGAAAGAGAAGCTGACTTCATCTTCACAACTTTTTAGTGTTTGACAGTCTCTCGTTGCAGATTTAATGTACCAGGAAACCAACTGCAGTGCTTATAAATGTGAATAAGTCCTTCCGTCTCCAAATGTTCGTCTTAAATCTCTCTCTTTGCCTTTTCGTTAGCTACTAGCTAGGCGAGACTGTCTGTATTGCTATGTGACCTGCAGTCTGCATGCCAGTTCTCAGTTGTTGAGAACCAGGGCTTTCACGCTGTGTTGCACACTTTGGAGCCGAGATCCAGCGTCCCGTCTCGAAGATATTTTACTGACAGCGATCCCCACTCCTTACAACGAGACCGAAACCGAAGTTCTAAAATCACTAAAGAAAACGGGTAGAATAGCTGTAACGTGATGCATGGACATCCTTTGCCACAGGATCTTATTTCACTGTAACTGCGCATTTTATCGCAGATGAGTGTCAGCCTGCGTCTCATGTGCTCCCAACAAGAGCAGTGAATGAGAGCCTTCCAATTGACTTGCCACATCACTTCCATTTAATTTATTAATCGAATTGAATCGTGAGGTGCCTAGAGATTCCCACCCCGGCTCAGTGCAGTAGATCACATGATGAAATTATGAATTTGCGTTGAATGAGTTTACAGTTTGTTCAGGGGAGGAATCTAACGTTGAACACAATAAAAACTTGGAAAAGAAGACAACCACCTTTTGAGAAGGCTTTCATATTGTCAGAAACTTCTAATTTTGTTCAAGGAAATAATGCAGAACCCCACAAGTTTAATAGTTTACAGTAACTAATTAACTCATGGTGCACTATACTCTATAATACAATATACCATATTTCTGAGTTTTCCTTTATTAATCTTTCTACTTATTACCACTCTGGTATGACAGTACATGGGTGTCATTGGATGCGAAGGCTTAAAGACACAGCCGTACTGGAGAAGCCTACTGTTCGCCAGCTGAACAAAGATTACCATATAAATTAGAACACCACGTAGCACTGGGTACTTAAGAGTGGCCGCTGTCAGTAATTAATCAGCAGGCCCAGAACAAAAACTATTAAACTGCAGTGGAACTTCTAAGTGTATCCAGCATCTGTCAGCATTGGAGATGATGTTAGGCCCTAGCCTGCTCTTTTTAGTCTGAAATAAAAAGGGGCAGCTTTACTAACATTTTGCACCATCACAAATCCTTTCTGAAAAAAAGAGTTTTCCCTTAAAGTGCAAAATACTAGGAGGAGATTATTATAGTGAGGCACCTACTGTGATTTACTTAGGCTAATAGTAAATACTGACTGTGTGCTGTTTAATGCCTGTGAAAAGCACTTCTTATTGTTGACACCATGGTTGCTGTTGTTTGTGCTCAGAGACAGAGAAAATGTCATATAACAATATTCTTAATTTGATGAAAGAAATAAAAAAGCCAAGTTTTAGTAAAACACTGTTGTAAACTGCTATTTCCTAACACTTTGGGTATATTTTACACGATCAAAGTGTCTTAAGAGCAGGTTTTGCTTAAGTATTGATTCTTTTCCAAAAAGTTGATAAAAGTACGTATTGGAACTCTTTAGGCTGTGTATTACCTGTCGTGCTAAAGCTACTCATTTCTGGGGCTTCTGTTGCAGAAATGTTACAGACTTTGAGGCACTGCGTGGAGCTTATGCTCACCACAAGTTCAAAAACAGAGTTCACGAACAACCAGGACGTGCACTTTGAAAATAAATAGGCATTTTACAGTATCACACGGTTTCATGTGCTTGGCATGGAAATTTAGCTCATCCCACCAGCTGAAAATGAGCATCTGTTTCATTTTTTTCTGAGCTAGTAAGTTGAAATATTATCTTATTTTCTCAAAAATAATACATTTTTTTTTCTCTTTGGTTATTGTTTTGACATATTAAGGACTTAATATAAATCAGCTTAATATAAACTCTGATAGTTATGTATTAATTTCAAAGTTGTGCCTGTGTTCATTTGCCTGAATGTTCTTTCTAGTTAAGCCACTATATTGGCCACCCGAGCAGCAGAAAGTGTTGGTCAGCTGCTGGTATTTAGCGCCTCATTTGGTAAATGTGCCGCAAAGCTCCAAAATGAAAGGTGTGAGCAATTGTAAAGTAGGCTGGGAGCTGCACCAACAGGACAGAGTGATATATATATATATACACAGAGGAAGAATAAAACATAAAATAAATTTTAGAACATTTATATTTGTTTTGAAATGTTTTGAAACACAATGAAAGAGAAGCTAAAAAATGGAAAAGTGGGCAAATTAATATAACTAGTTATTACGCCACTACCTATAGCGTTAGCTTTGTAGAATATACACATCGCTCTTGAAACTGCTGGCTAAAAAGCAATGGCCTAGAGTTGTGGTAACATATGGTGGTGCGTCTCTGCTAATGGCTGTATCTCGGCCCTGAAGACTCTCAGCCCCTCTGCCTCTAATAAGGCAGTGAATCAGAGTCACATTCTGCCTGCCTCTATAGAGCCGTGTGAATTTACTGCCTGTTTACACGCTGGCTGCAGGATGCTGCTGGCTGTAGCCCTGCTGGGGAGCAAAATGGGTCTACGGAGCGCTTGTTCCGGAGAGGAGCGGAGCCCACCTGGTGGAGACGGCGGGAGAGCATCATAGAGCAGCACAGCGAGGTGTAAATGAGAGAAACGCTTTTGCTTTTCACTCCATCTCTGTGCATGAAAGGTGCAGAGGCATAGATCTAGGTACAGCCCTATATGTCACTATTCATTATTCTGTTTAAGCTGAGTCATTGTTCAGGCTGAGCTGAGTCAGCATTCATGGCTAAACAATGCATCATGAAGAGTGTGGAAGAGAGAGAGAGAGAGAGAGAGAGAGACCTTTACATAATACAGCAGGAGACTAACTGTCTTGTCTTGCAGTTTTTGGTGAAAAAAAAAGTAGAGCATAGAGTTGAAAAATAAAATGAATAGACAATAAAAAAATAAATAATAAAATATTTTGTTAACTATGTAAAGTTTAAAGTTTTGAATGTTACTTTTCTTTAAGTCATCCAGATTAATAGAGGGTATATCTCGTTTGCAGTAATTAAAAAGATGAAATTGAGATGAACAGAGTAAGCTTGGAGATGTCAAA